TAAAAATATTCTTCTGTCTTTATTCAAGTATCTACAAGCACAGTCTGAATTAAAACCTAATTTTTTTCCTGTTTAAATATGCTGAAAGAGTCAGCAATTTTCACAAGTTACATTTTTTACATGACTGTCGTTTGGACAGATTAAAACAAGATCAGCATGCAAGGGAATGATGGGTACAGAAGATATGGAGACGGAAAGGAATGGCTCATAAGCCAAAGCATACCACAACATCTGTGAAGCATGGTGGAGGCAGTATTATGGTATGGCCAAGTATTGCTGCCAATGGAACTGGGTCACTAGCGTTTATTGATATTACTGCTGACATAAGCAGCAGAATGAATTCTGAAGTGTATAGGGCTCTGGTTATAGTGCAAAACTGATAGGATGCTGCTTCACAGTACAAATGAACAATGACCTAAAACATTCTGTGAACGCATTCCAAGAAATTGTGAAGGCAAAGAAGTTATTAATTACCTAACGGCCAAAGCAGTCACCTGACCTCATCCCAATGGAACATGCAATTTACTCACTGAAAGCAAAATTGAAGGCAGAGAGACCAACAAACAGCCAGCTTCTGAAGACAGCTGCAGTAAAGGCCTGGCAAAGCACCAGGGAGAAAAACACAGCTTTTAGTGATGTCAGCTTTCAGGAAGTCATTTATTTTTAACAGAGCCTTAAATCATTATATGTATGATTATATTAGTTGTCCAATTAATTATTAGCCCTTAAAAAATGGGGAGACTGTGTATACAACCGACTAATTCCTAAACAGCAAATTCAAACAAAACCTGACTGATTAACCTCCTTAGCGGTATTCCCGAGTGTAGCTCGGGGTAAAATTTGAGTACCAAGAGCGGTAACCCTGAGCTACACTCGGGCTTACCATGCGGCGCTGCTCTGGGGGTCCCTGCAGCACTTACCTTGTCCTTCGCTCCTACGATGTGTCCCCTGCAGCATCCCCGGCCATCTCCTCCGGTCGATGCCGGCATCCGGCTTCCGTGTTCCGGTCCCTGTGACGTCGGGACGTACGGGCGCCGGAACCAGCAGGAAATTTGAAACTTTTAAAAAATGTCATTTTTGCTGTCATTGCTATTTCAATGCATTTCACATACATTTTGTCCCTACTGCTTTGTCCGGCGCCCTGCCTGCATTTTGACTGTTCTTTCTGCCTGGAAACTTAGAAAAGTCCATGGCGTCCAAAAAGCGTCCCTTTACGTCAAAAGCGGTTTTAGAACAGCGATAGTATATCAGAACCACTTGCAGAATTGAGTGATGATTCGTGGGGAATTCCTCATCAGACACTGAAAACGATTTTGCGACTTTGCTCAGCGATGTGCGAATTTGCCTCTGTATTTCTAATTTCAGTGTTTTTGGTTTGATTATATTATTGAATTAAATTTATTATTATATTATTATTTTTTCATGATTTATTAAATTATAATTTATGATTTCATGTTTTAAGTTTTATCCTACCCGGCATGTTTACTAGACTCTTGTTCGGACAGATTTCAGTGAGTTATTCCTAAAAATTACAGCCTACAATAAAAAACTACATATTTCCATGCAAAAAAACGGTACCGCTTTCAGCACAAAAAATCGGAAAGAATCATACCGCCAAGGAGGTTAAAGGAAAAAGTAGGGCCAAAGCTTTTGTTGGTTGGCCCTACTTTTCCTGTAGGTCACAGGAGGGCTCTTCGTTCTGCACTCCTGTGACCCGTATTGAACTGACAGTGGGCTGCGGTGCGCTGAAAAAACATGGTGCATGCACTACTCTTTGTCAGCGCACCATGCCCGCACACTACAGCAGTGCAGTGGTGTGAATCGGGCACACAGGAGTCAAGGCATTTTGCCTTGTCATGTGGTAGAACTGCGCTGGAAAAAACCACTCAACACAGTTCTACCGCATCTGGACCCTCAATGTCCAGATCTGGAGTGGCAGCTGGCTCAGCCTCTCAGCGAGCCACTGAGAATGTGAGCCAGCCGCTCTTGCCCCTTGCACAGCCCGGTGCTCCAGTGAGCACTGGAGGGCAGAGCAGAGAGCCGGCTTTCTGCTCACTGAAAACTGTAGAGGCGGTGGGGGCAGATGCAACATCCACCTAGGTGAGTATGATTGTTTTTTTCCAAAGCCCGCACTTCTCTTTTCATTTCAAATACATTGCACTGGCACATACAGAGCCACGTTATGAAACCTATATCACTATCTGAAATATTTATGAACTTAGATGTACATGGGAGATGTTTTACCTTTCAAAGGATCTGTATCTATGTCCAGCCAGCACGCCCCTTTTTTAGCCCATGAGATCTGTAGCACACCTGATTTGCTCCTTGTGCTGCTTCTGAGCTCTGCTATGGAAGCTGCCTAATGCTGATACAAAGTCAAATTTAAAGGTATACTAAAGCTAAAAACATTTTTTATTTTTTAAAAACATTCCTTGCAATAAAGTAAAAATGTGTTCTATTTCTCTGTCCTCCCCTTTCCCTGTGTGAAGGTGAAGGAAGAATGAATCCAGCGCTATGCACAGCTGCATCTCTTCTCCCCTCTCTTCCTCTTCTCACAGGGACTCGAACAGCAGCTGGAGCCATTGGCTGTCAATCAAATGCAGTGAGTAGGAAGTAGGGGACAGGGCTAAGTCCCGCTGTGTGTTTCTATGGAGCGCGGCTCCATAGACACACAGTTCGGGAGTGAGCAGACACCATGTGCCCCACAGCAAACAGCTTACTGCACAGAGCAGATGAGTATACCATGTCTGCTATTTTCATAAAAAAAAAAAATAGACTTTAGTACCACTTTAAGCACCTACACTGCTTGCATCTATAAAAAAGGAAAAAAAATAGACTTTAGTAACATTTTAAGCACCTACACTGCTTTCATCTATAAAAAAGGAAAAAATAAATAAATAAATTAAACATACATACATATATATACACACACATACACACACATATATATATATATATATATATATATATATATATATATATATATATATATATATATACACATACATACATACACACATATATATATATATATATATATATATATATATATATATATATATACACACACACATATATAGAAATATTATTGAACAATGAGCTGCACTTAGCCGATTGTGTAAAAATGTGCCTGCCCCATTAGGTAGGTTCAACTGAATATATTTTCCAGGGTCTCCCTGTGTTTCTTACACTGTGGACATCACTACATATAACAGAAAACAAACAATGCAAAGCAAATGTTGAATGAAAAACTTTTTGCAAAGTGAACTACCTACCAATAGCAGGCCTTCACTGCTTATGCACCCCGGCCTATTGCACTGTACCATAATTGTATACATGCCTACCCCATTGGGGTTCTTGCTGCAGTATTTGGACTTAACCACCATACCTCTTGTTCCTTATGCAGTGCTGTCGTGTCCAATTTTTATGTTACGCTTTGTTACAAAAAACGTTAAATAAAGAATTAATAAAAAAAAAAAGTAAATTACGTAGCAGCTAAACTTTTATTTTCACCATCAACTCATCCCTATACAGGTATTTATTGTTTCACTTGACCCTCCATATTAGATTGTAAGCTCTCATAAGCAGGGCCCCTAACCTTCTTGTCAAAGTGTATTGTAGCTGTGTACGGTCTCCCTTTTTTGTTATTATTATTATACAGGATTTATATAGCGCCAACAGTTTGCGCAGCACTTTACAATATAAGGGAGACAATACATTTCAGTACAGAAGGAATAGGAGGGCTCGGCTCGTGGAGCTTACAATCTAAAGGAAGGGGGAGGTGATACAAAAGGTGATAGCTGCGGGGGATGATCTGGTGGAGGTGATTCATGTACAGTTCTTAGGTGGAGGTGGGGTAGGCTTCCCTGAATAAGTGAGTTTTCAAAGATTGCCTAAAGGCAGACAGGGTGGGGGCTGACCGGACATACTGTGGTAGGGAGTTCCAGAAGATGGAAGAGGCTCTGGAGAAGTCCTGGAGGCAAGCGTGGGATGAGGTGATGAGGGAGCTAGAGAGGAAGATATCTTGGGAGGAGCGGAGTGGGCGATTTGGGCGGTATCTGTGGATGAGGTTGGTGATGTAGCTGGGGGCAGTGTTGTGGATGGCTTTGTAAGCTGTGGTTAGTATTTTGAATTTTATACGTTGGCTTAGTGGAAGCCCATGAAGGGATTGGCAGAGAGGGGCAGCAGTCGCTGATCGGTTGGTAAGGTGTATGAGTCTAGCAGCAGCATTCATAATAGACTGAAGGGGGGATAGCCTGTGTAACGGTAGACCAGTGAGGAGGGAGTTGCAGTAGTTGAGGCGGGATATATCCAAGGTGTGGATAAGTCGTTTTGTGGTGTCATTGGTCAGGAAGGGGCGGATTTTGGAAAAGTTCTGGAGGTTGAGGCAGCAGGATTTAGCCAGTGAGTGGATGTGGGGCCCAAAGAAGAGGTCAGAGTCTAGGATTACGCCTAGCACCCTGGCATGAGGGGAAGGACCAATGGTTGTGCTGTTGATCTTAATGGCAAAGTCATGGGTGGGGGATCGGGGGGGGGGGGAAATACTACAACTATATTGTAAAGCTCTGATTAAACTACTGGCTCTAATCCTGTATAATATTCATTATAATAACTTCAAGCATGTAAAAATTAGATTCCTAAGGAATTTACGATTCTTACATAGCTACGACTCATGCGCAGGGTCATTTCTGAACTAGATAGAATTGTACTGTACAGGTTGACACCAAAGCAAAGTGATATGACAGCTTGAGAGCTGCGAGTTTCCAGAGCTGGTTCTAAGCTGCCTAAATCAAAAGACTCCCAATAGCGAATTTCCTCTGCTGGTGTTGACAGATGAAAGCTGTTATCTACATTATCCTCCCACACTTGTTCTTTCGGATAATGTATCTACTAGAGTGTCCTGCCAATTTCCTCACTCATCCTTCAATGCGAGTTTTAGATAAGGAATGTAAATAGCAGGAAGAAACAATCCTTGGATGTGCTAGGTATCGGATTCCTACCTTTGGGTATCTCTCCAGTTTTTCCTTCAGCTGTGCTTCCCTTAAAGCTTTAGTCATTAGCGGGGCTTCCTCCAGACGATGTCTGAGGATAGAACATAGGAAGAGAGAAACCGATCACAGTGTGCTGTGAAATCACAGTGAGACAATCCACAGACGAGTCCGTTTGTTTTATTCAACAAGCTAGGTGAACGAAAAAAAAACCAAAACGTAATTTCCCCCCCATTCACACACTCAATGTGGATGGGGGAATCCTCCCCAGTGAGCTATTGTATTCTGATAATGACTTCCCCGCCATCAGAATATGCTGATTGAGAGTGGGAAAATATGACAGGGCAATTGTACAGAAATCGATTGGTACCAGGGCGGACTGACCATTTGGAAACTCGGGCACTGACCGAGGGCCCGGGGTCAGTAGGGGGCCCTATGAGATGCCCCTTACACCTTTTTCATAGGCTTTTTTGAGTTTGGGCAAGGACACAGTGGCCCCATGATCCCCTATTGCCCGGGGGCCCCATGAGTTGTCAGTCCACCCCTGATTGGTACATTGACCTGTGTACAACCACAGTGCCCATACAGATGATCGGCATGGATGTCACTCCACTTCCTCAAACTCAATCTTTCCAAAACTGAGCTCTTAGTATTCCCCCCATCCCGTGCCCTCTCCCCTGACTTCTCCATCAAGATCAATAACACAACCATCAGTCCCTCCCCTCATGCCAGGGTACTCGGTGTAATCGTAGACTCCCATCTGTCCTTTCAGCTCCAAATCCAATCGCTATCCAAATCTTGTAGACTTCACCTCCGCAACATCTCCAAGATACGACTGTTCCTGACCTCTGAAACCACTAAGCAGCTTATTCACTCCCTGGTTTTATCTCGCCTTGACTATTGTATCTCCCTCCTCATTGGCCGACCTCATCGCAGGCTATCCCCTCTTCAGTCTATTTATTTCAGGTACTTATATAGCGCTGTCAATTTACGCAGTGCTTTACATATATATAGTACATTCACATCTGTCCCTAACCCTCAAGGGGCGTACAATCTAAGGTCCCTAACTCACATTCATACATACACATACAAGGGACAATTTAGACAGGAGCCAATTAACCTACCAGCATGTCTTTGGAGTGTGGGAGGAAACCGGAGTACCCGGAGGAAACCCACGCAGGCACAGGGAGAACATGCAAACTCCAGGCAGGTTGTGCCGTGGTTGGGATCACGAATGCTGCTGCCAGACTCATCCACCTTACTAACCGTTCTGTACCTGCCACCTCTCTCTGCCAATCCCTCCACTGGCTTCCTATTGCCCAACGGATAAATTCAAAACATTACCAATAACATATAAACTCATTTATAACTCTGCCCCAAATTACATCACCGATCTTGTCTCTAAATATCACCCAAAATGTACTCTCCGTTCCTCGTACGACCTCCTGCTCTCTAGAGCTCCCTCGTCTCCTCCTCCCATGCTGGTCTCCAGGACTTCTCCAGAGCCTCCCCCATCCTCTGGAACTTTCTACCCCAATCTATCAGGCTATTGCCTACTCTGCTCACTTTTAGGCGATCTCTAAAAACCTATCTCTTCAGGGAAGCCTATCCTGCCCTCAACGAATAATGGAATCTTCTATTCCTCCTACCAGTCCATCCCCCACAGTTACTACCTTTTGTACCACTAGCCCCTCCCTCCTAGATTGTAAGCTCCAAGGAACAGGGTCCTCCTATCCCTCTTGTATTGAAGTGTAGTGTTCCTGTATTGTCTCCCATTATAATGTAAAACGCTGCGCAAACTATTGGCGCCATATAAATCCTATATAATAATAATAATAATGTAATAATAACTGGCTGAATTTCGATCCATGTATGGCCAGTTCACATTTTGCTAATATAAATAAATAAATGTACATCTTTTTGCAGGTAAAGGTGCCTGCAGAGTGTTGCACTGGCGATCAGCAGACCATGGGTGCAAGGTCAGTCTTCTGCAAACCCTCAGGATAGTGTCCTGTACATGCAGGCAGTTTCCCATGAGCAGGAAGATAGATGAACTACGAGAGCGCTCACGAGTGCCTTTGCAATTCATTAAGAACTACATGCTGTCAGCCGCAATGGCAAATGGCGTATGTAGTCTATTCATTCGCAGGAAACTGTGAATGAATGACGTGGACGGAGCCCCACACAGTCATATTGTTTTCAAATTATGACACCGGGTCTGGGGAGAGGATCCCCCGCCAACTGTTACAGGGAGGGGGAGAAGCTGTCGAAGTTGGAATGTTACATGTTCCACCCTAAAAACAGGTGGAACTTGTAACATGTTCCAAAGATGAACTTGTCCTTTAAGCAATTCCAGTGCAGGAGAGGAGCCTGTACAACAGTGCAAGACCAAAGGTAAGGCTGGAATTCAGATTCAAAGTGGAAGAAAACCTTAAGAATAGATAGAATTAGGCTTCTCTTCCACTTTAAGCATATATCTCAAGGAAATGTACATGCCCAGGGGCGGACTGACAACTCATGGGGCCCCCAGGCAATAGGGGGATCATGGGGCCCCTGTGTCCTTGCCCAAACTCAAAAAAGCCTATGAAAAAGGTACCAGGGGCATCTCATGGGGCCCCCTACTGACCCCGGGCCCTCGGGCAGTGCCCGAGTTTCCAAATGATCAGTCCGCCCCTGCACATGCCATGATGTAAGAGCTTTCATTTTTTGAGCAGCCAAGGTGACCTTACACTTTTAAGTACTCTCTGGCTCCAAGATCAGATTACTAGGCTCCTGGATTCTACATCATTTTGTCCACCTCTGCATTACTTCATCAATCAGATACAAAAATGCTCACGCACCCATCCCACAGAACATGTGTACTGGAAAAACACAAGAAAAAACAAAACGGATCTGCAAAGCTAGTCTTTTACCTTTCATTTTTGAGTTCAGCAAACCTCCTTCTCACATCATCTACTGTGACCTCAAAAAAATCATCAGACAGATCCTGATTATTGGCACGCGCATTCTGCTCCAAATCCAGGTGGCACACAATAGGCTCTCTGCCTAGAGACTGCAATCCAAAACATCAAAATACATTTAATATTATACCGGAAAGTACATATGCTTATGATATTTCACAGAAAGGTTTTACAGATGACCATACACTGGGGGATCTGATTGTTCTGACCTTAACAATCAGAGCTATGATGCTGCATTCATTTGACATCTACTATTTACAGAATGTTAGGTCACATCCTCAGTGCTGCAGACAACATCCACAGCCAGGGGCGTCCCTAGGGTTGGTGTCAACTGGTGCGATAAAACTTGGTGACACCCCCTCCGATTATCCCCGCAGAATGGATCTGATCTGTGGATTGAGCATAATGGTTCGGACCAGGGGTGGACTGACAACTCATGGGGCCCCCAGGCAATAGGGGATCATGGGGCGCCTGTGTCCTTGCCCAAACTCAAAAAAGCCTATGAAAAAGGTACCAGGGGCATCTCATGGGGCCCCCTACTGACCCCAGGCCCTCGGGCAGTGCCGAGTTTCCAAATGGTCAGTCCGCCCCTGGTTCGGACTCCGATCCATTATGCTCAATCCGCAGATCGGATCCATCCTGCGGGGAACGTCGGCTTGCTTTACAACTTACCTTTTCATGAAGCGGGTCCGGTGTCACCCCGTATAGGCTGCATGCTGACTATCCCCGCAGGATGGATCGGATCTGCGGATTGAGCATAATGGATCGGAGACCGATCCATTATGCTCCCCTATCTGCAGATCCGATCCATCTGCGGGGATCGCGGCTTGCTTTACAACTTACCTTTTCGTGGAGCGGGTCCGGTGTCACTCCATGCGGTAGGCGTCACCCGGTGCGGCGCGCGCACCCCCGCAACTGCCTAGGGACGCCCCTGCCCACAGCAGTGCCCAGGGAGAGATCTGCCTTCCTAGTGAAGATTGCCAAATCCAGAAGACAGACTGGGGGAATTAAAGAGTGGCGGAAGCACCATGCTCACACCGCTCTTCTAAACGTAAAAATGGAGCATACGCTGCTGCTAAGTAACAAATGGGTGCAAGCCCCCTTGATAACTAGGAGCAATCAGTTTTCTGTTCTATGCCTGATACAGCACAGAGAACAGAGCTGCATGCTCTGATCATTCTGCAGTCTCCACCCGATCAACTCAGAGCGGAGCGAGAAGGAGGGAAGTTAACCCTGCAGGTGCTGCCCGTGTAGTGTAATCACTGTATGGCCAGAAGGAGGGATGTGGGCTGTCTACTGACAGCTCACATTCCATATTACAAGCTCATACCTGGTTGGAATTTGTGGCAATCTTCTAGAAGAAAAACTGCCAAATTTCCTCTGTTAATTAGGGACAGTGTTGCGCTACTTTCTGTTTCACTTTGAAATAGAGTCTGGCGAGAGTTGCACAGATAGACCTGAAATGCATGCATCTCCTCTTGTAATGTGGCACACACCACTCCTGACCATTCCCTGTGTCCATTATAATGTTATAAAGTGCAATGCAAAGTTAATTCTCTGGATTTTCTACTAGGTCCCCTATATTCTCTACCAGGGATATTGAAACAAAACTCATGAAGGTCCAGTCAGTAAAATGTTTATTCCAGCAGAGGTACGAATAACTCTTCCTCAACACTGCTGTCCCCAGCCCCCTTCACAATTCTGTCCTCACTCCCTTTATAGCGCCCACCCCTCCTTACCCATTTTAGAGAACCCCCCCTTCACATTCCTGTCCTCACCCCCTTTATAGCATCCCCCTCCTTACCCATTTTATAGAACCCCCCCTTCAAAGTCCTGTCCTCAACCCATTTTTAGCACCCCCTCCTTACCCATTTTATAGAACCCCCCTTCACATTCCTGTCCTCACCCCCTTTATAGCACCCCCTCCTTACCCATTTTATAGAACCCCCCTTCACATTCCTGTCCTCAGCCCCTTTATAGCACCCCCTCCTTACCCATTTTATAGAACCCCCCTTCACATTCCTGTCCTCACCCCCTTTATAGCACCCCCTCCTTACCCATTTTATAGAACCCCCCTTCACATTCCTGTCCTCAGCCCCTTTATAGCACACACCCCCTCCTTACCCATTTTATAGAAGCCCCCTCAACAGTCCTATCCTCAACCCATTTATAGCACCTCCCTTCACATTCCCGTCCTTACCCCTTTTATATAACCCCCCTTCACATTTCTGTCCTCAACCCCCCCTTTTATAGCACCCCCCTTCACATTTCCGTCCTTACCCCCTTTATAGCACCCCCCTCCTTACCCATTTTATAGAACCCCCCTTCACATTCCTTTCCTCACCCCATTTATAGCACCCCCCTTCACATTCCCGTCCTTACCCCTTTTATAGCACCCCCCTTCACATTCCCATCCTTACCCCTTTTATAGCACCCCCCTTCACATTCCCGTCCTTACCCATTTTATAGAACCCCCTTCACATTCTTGTCCTCAACCCCTTTATAGCACCCCCCCCTTCACATTCCCATCCTTACCCCTTTTATAGAACCCCCTTCACATCACATTCCTGTCCTAACCTCCCCCCCTTTATGTTACCCGCTTTACCCTTCACATTACAGTTTCCAGACCCCCTTCCCATCATCCCCGACTTTCCCTGTACTTCATAGCAGTGACAGAGCCCTCTTGCCTGTCGTACCTTACACAGGCAGAAGGGCGGAAGGCACAGAAGGTCTAGGCGAACATTGGAAGGGTGGCACAGCGATGGATGGAGGCCAGGAGCTCACCCAGTTACCTGATTAGTTGCTAGGATGCAGGGCGGTTCTAGCAATCAATCAGCTAACTGGGCCAGCTCCCACCCTCCATCCATTGCTGAGCTGCCCCCCCGATGTCAGCTCTGCAAAGAAGACAGCGCTAAAGACAGGTTGAGGGGAAGAACCACCTGCTAAATGGAGCTACCCGGCGGGTCCAGACGGGACATTGACTTGGTCCGGACCTGGACCCTGGTTCACCATTTAGTGATGCCTGCTCTATATCCTCAGCTGTCCATGAACAGTTGAAGTAGACCAACTAAAAGCCAATGACCCCAGAAGAAAATTTCAGAGAGACCCCACACATTCTACAGATGCAATCCAGTTCAAATACTTAAAGCGGCCCTGTGGCCAGACCATTTAAACCACAATCTTCCTATAACATTATATGTACATATAACATATGTTTTGCGTGTTATTTACCTGTAAAATCCTCCCTTGTGTAGTCATTCAAAAGTCCTGAGCCTGCTGCTGGACCCCGCAATCTTGGATATGATGTCAACAGCCCCAGCAGCCTCAGAGCTGTCACTCTGATACGTCATAGTATTCCCCTTCCGCTCCTCCCCCAACAGCTACATAATACACTCACCGGCCATTTTATTAGGTACATTGCTAATGCCAAGAAATTCTCCCCATCACCCTGAACCATTGATACATGCAGGATGGATCCATGCTTTCATGTGGTTTATGCCAAATTCTGACCCCACCCTCTGAATGTCACAGCAACCAGGCTGGCCATTTCTCCTCTGACCTCTGACATCATCAAGGCATTTTCATCCACACAACTGCCGCTCACTGGATATTTGCTCTTTTTCGTACCATTCTCTGTAAATCCTAGAGATGGTTGTGTGTGAAAATCCCAGTAAATCAGCAATTTTTGAAATATTCAGACCAGCCCGTCTGGCACCAACAGCCATGCCACATCCAAAGTCACTTAAATCCCCTTTCTTCCCCATTCTGATGCTTGATTTGAACTTCAGCAAGTCTTGTTCACCACGTCTACATGCATAAAGGCATTGAGTTGCTGCCATGTGATTGGCTGATTAGCAACTGTGTTACCAAGCAATTGAACATGTGTAGCTAATAAAGTGAATGATGAGTGTAGGTTAAAAAAAAAAGGTATGAGGAAGGGTGGAGGAGCTAGGCCAGCACAGAGATTAATTAGAAACTCGCAGAAAAGGAGAGGGCTTTGACACGCAAGGAGGGAGGGGGCTGTGCTAGAAAACCGACTCCTAAGTAGTCCAATTTCTAGCAAATTCAAAAGGTATATTGTAAGTGAATAAAAAAAAATCATTAATGGAAAAAGTAAATATTAAATTTAAAATACCTGATTGTTCTGTGCGTTAACCTAAAAATGATTAAAGTGACACAAAACTCTGGTTTAAAAAAAAACCATGTTAGCAGGGAACATACATTCCATATTAATAATGAGGCAACCAAAATTAGTGTGTGCTGTAAATTCCCTCCAGCATCGTTCCTGTTCTTCTTGCTGGAGGCTGCCAGAGCCCCTGAGCAGCTAGAAACTTTTAGGTTGTCAGCAGATCGGCCTCTAAATTTTTGGCATAGTGCCAAAAAATACAGAACTGAGCATGTGCAGAGCAAGGGTAAGACAGCATATTACTGGATTTCAAACAGTATAGACACTCATTTTCATGTTTTACATAAATATACCTGTAATACCTGCTATACCTGTAAAAGGGGCCAGCCCGAAGTGATCTATCAGGACTTCATTTTCTAACTAAAAGTTCCACTTTACCTAACTTTACCGCCCCTAGCACCCTCCAAAATTTTACTGGTCTTTGCCCTGTGGTCTGCTGGGGGCTACAAAGACCCTACTGCAAAGCTTGTGGGACCAGGCAACTTCTTCTGCTCATGCTTGCAAAATTTCTATGCATTCTTTAACAGATGTTCTCTCCATAGGAAATAATTGCATTTTATTCACATGTGCACAGAAGCTGCTTCCCAGGCCTGTAGACTTTGCAGCTGTCGGTGGGTTGCAAATTGAAGATTTGTTAGGCAGAATGGCCATGGAAATGGTAAGTTGGTCAGGTGATAAGTGTACAAAACGATGGCTATAATTAGGGTGTACTTCAGAGTGGGAAAGGCTTAGAACCCCTGTCAAGTTTTAACTGTTACCAGAGGCTCCATTAGCGAGATTTCTTCTCACTTTTACAATAACAATTTAATCAGACAAAGCGAGGGAGAAATCTGCAGCAGACGCACATAGCAATAAAAAGCAGGCAAGGGTTCTAGTTTCCACCTACGCTACTGAAAAATGCATTTCCCCCTCATGTCCTGTCTGGTAAAACCAAACTACACGAGGGTAAATCTCTCCAAAAGAGTCCCAGACGTCATTAAAAAAAAAAACATTACAAGGGTTCTAACCCTTTCCTTGCTCTTAGACAACATGCCCTCTGCATTTTTAAAGTGTCTGTCAAGGAAAAATAAGAAAAAAATATTCAGTACATATCTGAAATGCATCCACATTTCTCCATTTTAAAGTATAGAAAAAATACCTTTTGATCCGGCAGATATGTGCTCAGCTGTTAAGACTTGTCGAGAGCTGACAACACACAAGATTGTGGTGTCAGCCCTCCCATCTACCTTTAGCTAAACCAGTCAACCACTCCCACTACGAGATCTCTACAAAGGCTAAGATTTCAAAAAGATAAAAAGACTATATAACATAGGGGATACGCAGAGAACACAGGTCACCTCCAACAGTCTAATAAGGTCATCAGGTTTTTGTTTTTTTGCTCATCAATGAGATATAAAAATGTTTCCAAAGGTATGCAATGCAAAAAAAATAATTGAATGAAAACTGCATACCAAAAATCCTCCATTCAATTGGTTAGGTGCGCTCTCCATCCATAAATTCACTGTCAAGGTGTACATACACTTTAAAAGCAGGTAGTTGAATGTAAAAGGAAAGGAATGCTGTTTTTCCTGCTCAGAATGCAATGAGAGCCCATAGCCAATCAGGGAGAAAAGGTTATGCTGGACCCCCCCCTTCCCGAGACCTCACTGGCTCTGGAGTAACACGGCACCCCCTGTAGTCACTCTACAGCTCACCTCTGATTCATTATCCGTCTTTGATTTCTTTGGCTTAGAATGTTCTGGACTGTGTAAAGGCTCTTGAGCCGTGGCACATTGCAGGTCATCTTCGAATGAAGCTGCAGGAACGTTGGCACCACCTAGACGATGGCCTCCTCCTTGGAATGGGACAAACGAAGTCACTTGAGACTGAGCAGGAGCTTTTGGCCTGACACTGTCCACACTGGACTGAGCTTTCTCTACACAGGGAATTGCTGTTTGAGGTGCTGAAACTTCTTGAGGCTTCTCTCTCTCTGTAGCCCTAATGGACAACCTCTCTTCCTGGCAAGCAACAGGCTCTTTCTTCACATCTTCTGTTACCGGAGGACCCTTGGACTCTTCCTTGAGGCCAGAAGCCCGCTGTTTTAGTGTGCCCTCCTCTGTACTTGGTGGTTGTCTGCTAACAGGCGACTCATTCTTCCGCACTACGAACCTTGTGAATGAGATAAATGGATCAAAAGCTTTACTACAAGAAAATAGTTTCTTGGTTATAAAGGTCTGTAGACTGTACAGCAAGCAATCGGTATTTCCATAAAGCTTCCAGGAAAATGATTAAAGTGGAATTCTAACCTAACATTAAAAAACAAAAAACAAAAATGTTAACATACACCCACCCACACACTCCCGTCTGGTCATGTGATCCTGCCGCTACAGATCCTCTGTGACAGCGGGTGGCTGCTGCGGAGGAGAGGAGGGAGCACTGACAACTGGGAATCTATAGGCGATGTCACAGCTCCTGTAAATCCCAGCAGTTGTCGAGCATTTCATGACACATGGGAGTACTGAAAACAGCCGCATGTAAATGCACTGCACAAGTAAAATATTTGCAATCAGGTCCTACCTGTGCTCAGCTTCTGTTTCTGTGGTGCTTCCTTCCCTCAGAGTGCATACTGGAGCTGAGCTCCTACTCTTAACCCTGAACTAGCACAATGCATTCACAATCAGCAGTTTTCGTCCTTCCAGGCTCAGTTATTCTTCATACATCTTTTCGGTCTTTGGAACCTTCGTTTTGGCAAATGTTTGTTCATTTGCTCTGCCTGTCACCTTAATAAAAGGGGACCTCCATGTCCCCAACATATTGGCATTATTCTCATATGGGTCTACAGCAAGCCTTGAAATTTCCACTCACCTGCTCGCCAATGGCGAGTGGAAAATTATGGTGGGGGCGAGTGTCCCCCCCAGGGCCGTCATGCTGAGCAGGCTCGGAGCTCAGGCCGGATCTGTCATTGGCACTGGGAGCCGTCAGACTGCTCAATAGCTGAGCGCAGTGAAAGCAAAGGAAGGAGCGTGTGCTGTGCTCTCTGCCTCCCCCTAGAGTGCAGTACCTGGCTCTGTGCGTGAACAAAGAAGTACTGCAACTTTTTATAGGGCTGTGATGGCTTCAGGGGAGAGGAGAGAGCACTTAACAGCATGCGTGCGTGTGTACATGTTTGTGTGTGTCTCTGTATGCATGTACATGTGTCTGCGTGTATGTGCATGTATGTGTGTGTGTACATGTACATGTGTGTGTATGTACGTACATGTTTGTGTGTGTGTATGTACATGTATCTGTGCATATTTCTGTGTATGTACATGTATCTGTGTGTATGCATGTGTGTACATGTGTCTCTGTGCGTGTGTGTACGTTTGTGTGTGTGTGTGTGTGTGTGTGTGTGTGTGGTGTGTATATGTATGTACATGTCTGTGTGTGCGTACAGGTGTCTGTTTGTGTGTGTTTGTTGGTGGTGAGCAACTCTTAAGGCCTCAGGACTTGCTCAGGACTTGAAATTTTAAGCCCTGGTCTACAGTAAACAATTCTTTTGGATGTCATCATGGTGTGCTCACTTTTACTGCATATTGGATTTACACAGTACCATCAAGGCATCCCTTCAGACATACCAGGCTGCTTCAAAGTATCTAATCCAAGGATGAAACTATTATCAAGCAAGGATGAAACTGAACAGAAAAGTAGTTTCAACAGTTGCAAGAGAGTAAAAATTTGACCATTTCTTAGATTATCATAGCTGAATATGCGCGGTTATGAACCCACACTTACAGCTGCAGGTTGCGCATCATCTGTTAGGCTTCATGTACACGAGCCTACCCTGATCGGTGGCCACGGGAAATCGCAAATTGCGGCAAAAACACGGTACTGCGATTGACGCATTTTGCAGTTTCCCACAGTCGGCAGTCAAAACGTTGCTATCATGAACGCGATTCTTCCGCATTCAGGAGAGGGAGGTTTAACCTCACCTAAACGCAGCAGCTCCTAAACTCTGCTAAAAGCTTATGTGCACGTGGACACACAGGCTATTATGGAGTTGAGTCTAGGAGCTTTGCCGCAAAAATGCCAAAAACTCCTAAACTCGAGTTTAGCAGCTGCTTGTGTACATGAAGCCTTGCCGTTACTATTTCTACCAAAATAAATAAAAAGTCCCTGCTATCTTCTTAATGCAAATAGGAGTCTCAAACCTTCCAGGTGGAAGACTAAAGGCAACATCAAGTTTAGCATTTAATTAATGATCATATCAAGATTATCCCAACTGGGGTTGACCTGAAATGGAAAAGCTCTTTGTAATATTACACAATAAAATAATTTAACAGCACGGAGCACAGCGATTGGCAGTTATCTGTAATATCAAATTACAAAATGGCTTGGAAACAATTATTTACAGCATGCATTTTTTTTTTTTAATGAAAGTGGATTGAGTGTGTATTCACACTTGGGAATGCACCAGCACTGTGATTAGATGTGAGAATCCCAGTGGGGGGCTCCCACAATTAGTGCCAAGGGCCAATCACTTGCATGTGATCTCTGCACAAGAGAATATATGGAGTGGCTGTGATTAGCTGTGAAAGCCAGGAGCCTCCCATTGCATTCAGTGGGGCTGCCTCTTGCAGCTGATTGCTGGAACCCCCCGCTGGGGTTCTCACATCTAATGGCAGTGCGGGTGCATTTGCAAGTGTGAATGCACCCTAAAGCTGGCCATATGTACTTAAGTTTTTTCATTTAGCCAGCCGGATGAACGTAAAAATGGAACAGATTCCCCATTCACACATTCAAAAGCAGAAATCCAAAAAAAAGCAAAAAAAAAAAAAAAATTCAAAAGCAGAAATGCCATTGTATTATGACAGCAGTATTCCCCCATTGTCAGAATACACTGATCACAGACTGGCTGCATGCATGCGCAGATCAAGCAAAAAATGTACCAACACCCTGGTTCATGAGAAGTCGATTGATAGACTGACTTCTCATGAATGGGAACAGCCATACATTTATTTATTTCAGGTACAATTTACTCCACGCTTTACATATATATTGTACATTCACATCAGTCCCTAACCCTCAAGGGGCGTACAATCTAAGGTCCCTAACTTACATTCATACATACACATACTAGGGCCAATATAGACAGGATACATTGATCGAAATTCAGCCAGTTTCTGCTGAACCAGTCGAACTTCAATCCATATACAGACAGCTATACTCTCTCACTGACCTGATTATGGCACTTCCGCCTGTGAGTCCCAAAGATTGAAGAGAGGTTTGCTTCAGAAGCAATTCACCGGATACCTGAGAAACAAGAACCGATTAAGTGGCTGGACTTCTGTGTGATGCATAAGTACCTATTGCTATATACACTATATTTCCAAAAGTATTGGTCGGCCGGCCTTTACACGCACATGAACTTTAATGGCCCCCCAGTCTTAGTCTGTAGGGTTCAATACTGAGTTGGCCCCGCCCTTTGCAGCTATAACAGCTTCACCTCTTCTGGGAAGGCCGTCCACAAGGTTTAGGAGGGTGTCTATGGGAAGGTTGGACCGTTCTTCCAGAAGTGCATTTGTGAGGTCAGGCACTGATGTCGGGGGAGGAGGCCTGGCTCACAGTCTCCGCTCTAATTCATCCCAAAGGTGTTCTATGGGGTTGGGGTCAGGACTCTGTACAGGCCAATCAAGTTCCTCCACCCCAAACTGGCTCCTGCATGTCTTTATGGACCTTGTTTTGTGCACTGGTGCGCAGTCATGTTGGAACAGGAAGGGGCCATCCCCAAACTCTTCCCACAAAGTTGGGAGCATGAAATTGTCCAAAATGTCTTGGTATGGTGACACCTTAAGAGTTCCCTTCACTGGAACTAGGGGGCCAAGCCCAACCCCTGAAAAATATCCCCACACCATAATCCCCCCTCCACCAAACTTTACACTTGGCACAATGCAGTCAGGCAAGTACCGTTCTCCCGGCAACCACCAAACATAGACCCGTCCATCGGATTGCCAGACAGAGAAGCATGATTGGTCACTCTAGAGAACACATCTCCACTGCTCAAGAGTCCAGTGGCGGCGTGCTTTACACCACTACATCTGACACTTTGCATTGCACTTGGTGATGTAAGGCTTGGATGCAGCTGCTCGGCCATGGAAACCCATTCCATGAAGCTCTCTACGCACTGTTGTTGGGCTCATCTGAAGGCCACACCAAGTTTGGAGATCTTTAGCTATTGACTCTGCAGACAGTTGGCGACTTCTGCGCACTGTACACTTCAGCATGCGCTGACCCCGCTCTGTCATGTGACGTGGCCTACCACTTGGTGGCTGAGTTGCTGTTGTTCCCAGTGGCTTCCACTTTGTTATAATCCCACTAACAGTTGAGCGTGGAATATTTAGTAGCCAGGAAATGTCACGGATGGACTATTGCACAGGTGACAACCTATCACGGGACCACGCTTGGAGTCACTGAGCTCCTGAGAGCGACCCATTCTTTCACAAATGTTTGTAGAAGCAGTCTGCATGCCTAGGGGATGATTTTATACACCTGTGGCCATGGAGGGGATTGGAACACCTGAATCCAATGATTTGAAGGGGTATCTCACTACTTTTGGCAATATAGTGTACCTCAGACTGACTGCTCTATACATATGCGCAAACTTTAGCTGTAGAACCCAAGATGTGTCACAGGTGAGTAAATCTGAACCAGAAAATATTTTTATTTTATCATTTTAAAATATTTTTTCCACATTTATTCATCCTTTGTCACGCTACCAATCTCCTGCATCCTCTCGGCAGCCAATTTCTGTCTAGGGGCATGTGTAACATTGTGTAAATGGTCAACTGTAGTATCCATTGGAAGCGCACGAGACACAGATGACACAGGAACACAGATGGGAGACAGAGACATAGCATTTTCACACCACAATGGGAAGTGCTTGAACAGGGACCTCAATGGCAGAAACTCCACGTATTATTTTAATGAAAGCCATAGATTTTTTTAAATGCCTACTGAAAATGCATGAATGCTGTAGACTGAAAATCACTTATGAAAATGCATTACCATAATAAAGCTTACATGATATTTTAGTGATTGGGTTGACATCTCCTTTAAATCACTATTTGCTATAGTTTAAGTTGTCAAGTGTGATTATTTCACTTCCTTAACAATCTGCTTTTAGGATGTGGAACACCTTATTGCTTCTTATGACTCAACATGTGCAAAACTAGCGCACCAATGTTGTTGTAACTAAAGCTAACATACCGCCCTAATGGCTTTGGCGGGTGGGTGCAGGTAGGAACTCAAACAGACGTCATGCCATTTGAGTCCCCTGGAGATATAAAATTTGGTGTGTAAACCTAGCAGATTTGGGTGGCCTGGCTATAAAAACTAGACCTGCCACGTACCTACAGATTGACTTTAAAGAAGAACTCTGCTCGAACTAAATAAAACGCAAAGCAGGGGGCCAATCGTAAAAAAGCTGTCATACTAAAAAACAGCACTCTACGTGGGTCTATGATGTTATACACTTATATGTTTGAGTGATTCAATCCGCTAGCATCTATCCAAAATGAAAACATCCCATTTGGGTGGCCTGGCCATTTAGGAAAACTACTGGATATGCAGACTATAATGTCACATGCCAGTGAAGTCATTTGTATTTTTGTTTTAACTCCCACTTAAAGGTGAATTTTTATTGCCACATCAAAGTGTGCAGGTGGCGGTCTTTGCGTCTACCCTGATGCAACAGTCGCTGAGTTTTGAGGGACGTAAAGAGGTGCGAGCTGAAAGCGCCGGAGTCAATGAATCATTAACGAGCTGTCTGGATTACAGAATTCGCCACTCTGTGCATTGCCTTACCTCATCTCGCATATAAATACATACGGCGACGCTTCCAGGAGGAACCTCGTCCAAACACACCCTGCAAAATACAAACAGCCGTAAACCTCAAAACGCAGACAGCACCACTTTATATGTGCAACGCAGAGCCAGGAATATTACCAAAACTTGACAAAATACCAAGCCTTTTCAATATAGAGAATGCTGACCCACAGGAACCAATCAGAATTCAGATGAGTGAAAGTTTGGGGTAAATTCATAAATTAACTGTTAGGTTCAGGGGCGGACTGACAACTCATGGGGGGCAATAGGGGATCATGGGGCCCCTGTGTCCTTGCCCAAACTCAAAAAAGCCTATAAAAAAGGTACCAGGGGCATCTCATGGGGCCCCCTACTGACCCCGGGCCCTCGGGCAGTGCCCGAGTTTCCAAATGGTCAGTCCACCCCCCTGGCTGGGTTATCATATTTGAGATATATATATATATATATATATATATGGCAAATTACACTGCACTTTAAATTAGAAACAAAACCATTCATCATTTCCTGTCTCCCAACAGAAGCTTGCAATCCAATGTTCCAATTGCCAACTGTGATGGCAGCTAACTTACCAGCATATTTTTGGATTGCAGGAGGAATCCCAGGGACCCAAAGGAAGGCCATACAAACTCTATACAGATCATGGCCAGATGCACCTAGAACAGCATGACTATACTATTGACCTTTTGGGCCATGTCACACTAGTGATCCTGTCACTAGCAACAATGTACTAGTAATACAACCACTAGATTGGACATGGAAGCAACTTATCTGTTCCTAGGATGGCATTTCCTTGCTGTCAAGAAGAGGAAAGAAGGGGACAATGACACAGAGGTGGTGAGTATTGCAGCAAAAGCTAATTTTGTTTTTCAATTCTGCATTTTTTTATTTAAGTGATCACCAATCCATTTTTTGTTCTTTATTTCAAAGCTTAAAAGTGATTTGAAAGGGTAATTTTTTAAAAAATAATAAACATGTTATACTTACCTGCTATGTGCAATGGTTTTGCACAGAGGAGCCCAATCCTCCACTTCTAGGGTCCCCCGCCAGCACTCCTGGCTCCTCCTCTTCTTGGTGTGCCATGACAGAAAGCCATTTCCTACTGTGGCACACCTGCGGGCTCAAGCCTGAGCCATGCTGCTTGTGTCCATAGACACAGACAGCACAGCTTGGCCCTGTCCCCTGCTCCCTCACCACAGGATTTGACTGACAGCAGCAGGAGTTAATGGCTCCCACTGTTGCCTCTCTGTCCTGTGAGGAGGGAGAGAGCCACTGCTCTTGGGCACAGCGCTGGATTAAGATTGACTGATTAAGATTGACAGAAAAAGGTAAAAAAAAACAACAACACACGTTTGGCTTTAGATACACTTTAAATCTAAAGCTCTAAAGCATGGGTGTCAAACTGGCGTCCCTCCAGCTGTTCTCAAACTACAAGTCCCATGAAGCATTGCAAGATTGACAGTTACAAGCATGACTCCCAAAGGCAGAGGCATGATGGGACTTATAGTTTCGCAACAGCTGGAGGGCCACCAGTTTGACAACCCTTCTCTAAAGGATTAATTTATGAAACTGTGGACCAGCATCCTCCGGTTTTACCAAAAGACTCCTAATCCAGAGCCAGGTTTTGCAATTCTCTTTCTATAATTTAATACTACTCTACATGAAACATGATAATAAGGCTTGATTAGGGCTTTTGCCGTAAGGTGGAATTTCAGCTTACATCTAACTAGCCCTAAAACTGCCCCTACTCCTCCTAACAACTATGCTAACCATCCTGTTTAAGAAAACAGTAAAAAAGGAACCTAATTTCAGGCCATACTGGACCAGAGCAACCTGAAAATAGAGTATACAAAAAACTTTCTTACACAGGTCAGTTAGCACAGGTGTCAGGTGGGGGTGGGGGGGGTAGTTTGAAGGGTAGTTAAATCCAAGGATCCATGTACACGGAACACTTCTGAACAATGCAAACTGACAGCTGGAAAACGTAGGTTAAAAAACGTCTGTTTAGCCGCGTTTGCATACCGTGCTTATGAGCGTTTGTGTTTAGAAGCATTTTTTTTAAAGATAACCTCATGAGACCTTCCAAAATGCCCAGAATGCACTTAAAAACAGTAAAAAATTAACTATTTCAGACATTGAGAGAAATAGAGAAAGCAGAAGCAGAGAGAGTAGTATGTGTTGAGATTAGCATTTTATTTTGTGGTGTTTTTGGATGTGTTCCAGCTCATTTCTGTGCAGAAATTATTGCAGCAGTGTCTAACATATTTTCTTTCATGCAAAACCTTAAAGTATGGTGTACCGGGTCCGTTTGAGTACCGGAAAAACGCTTTGCATGCATTTTTATGATGAAAAAAGGCTCTGGACAGCATCTGGAAATGGAAGAGTTAAAAAAAAATTTCAAACACAAATGCTTATAAACGCGGTTAGCTTGAAACGCTGATAAAATCTACTGCTGAATGCAAGTTTTCTGTGTTCAAAAAAACGACTGTAAACGACGATGTGTACATGGACTCATAGGAAAACATTAGGGAGAGTTCAGGGGCTGCTGAAAAAAACGCTGAACAGCTCCTAAACGTGAGTTTATCAGCTGCAGTGTACATGAGCCCTAAGCTGGAATTCCTCTTTAAATTAAAAACCAATCCAATACTTAAGATACATTGTTCCTGGATCTTACTTAGTTTGAGGGAAAGAGACCAGGACATCCCAGAGTGTCTTGCTGCATTGAAACTCATCCTGCAACCTCGTCCCGTCTTCTAACTGCATGGCTACACGGACTTTCTGAAACAGAACAGAAGTGTTAATTCATCCAGCCCATTTGTGAGCCTTACAACTGTAGCTGCAAATAACACTAGTGCTTCATTTTTTGCACATTTTGGCTTAGACAATAAAACAGTGCAGAGATTACAGTGTTTACATTCTGATGTAAATCAGATTTAAAGCATAAATTCAACTTTTGGACAAAAATAATAAATGCACATTTTTTGAAGAACAAAAAAAAAAATTAGCATTTATTATTTTTGTCCAAAGCATTGCACCAATGATCAGTAGATCGCTGATGCCATGCAGGCCTCCTGCAGGCCTGTCAGAATATCTGCTTGCTGTACAGGATGTACTGTCAAGCAGATATTCTGACAGGAAGCTTCAATGAACTAACACACGAAAAAACTACAAGCTGACAGCCGCTAAGGCTGCCGGGACTTGTAGGCACTCATTCACAGAACTTTGTGAATGAGTGACACGGCTGTGTGGGCGGAGCCCCGCCCGGCTGTGCGGGTTTCACATCTGACAGATAGTACAGGGAGACTTCTCCCTGTACTCTCTGTCAGGGGGAGGGGGGTGGCGTGCAGGGCTGTGCCTATGGGAACATGTTACAGAATTAAAGATGGGCGAACAGGCAGAACTTTTAATGAAGAAGAGACATACTTTGTCTCTTCTGCATTAAAGTTACTTACAGTGCCTTGAAAAAGTATTCATACCCCTTGAAATTTTCCACATTTTGTCATGTTACAATCAAAAATGTAAATGTATTTTATTGGGATTTTATGTCATAGACCAACACAAAGTGGCACATCATTGTGAAGGGGAAGGAAAATGAGAAATGGTATTTAAAATTTTTTACAAATAAATATCTGAAAAGTGTGATGTGCATTTGTATTCAGCTCCCTTTACTCTGATACCCCCTAACTAAAATCTAATGGAACCAATTGCCTTAAGAAGTCACTTAATTAGTAGAGTCCACCTGTGTGTCATGTGATCTCAGTATACATACAGCTATTCTGTGAAGAAGTTTGTTAGAGAACATTAGTGAACAAACAGCATTATGAAGGCCAAGGAACACACCAGACAGGTCGGGGCTAAAGTTGTGGAGAAGTTTAAAGCAGGGTTAGGTTATAAAAAAAATCCCAAGCTTTGAACATCTCATGGAGCACTGTTCAATCCATCATCCGAAAATGGAAAGAGTACGGCACAACTGCAAACCTAACAAGACATGGCCGTCCACCTAAACTGACAGGCTGGAAAAGGAGAGCATTCATCAGAGAAGCAGCCAAGAGGCCCATGGGAACTCTGGAGGAGCTGCAGAGATCCACAGCTCAGGTGGGAGAATCTGTCCACAGGACAACTATTAGTCGTGCACTCCACAAATCTGGCCTTTATGGAAGAGTGGTAAGAAGAAAGTCATTGTTGAAAGAAAGCCATAAGAAGTCCCGTTTGCAGTTTACGAGAAGCCATGTGGGGGACACAGCAAAAATGTGGAGGAAGGTGCTCTGGTCAGATGAAACCAAAATTGAACTTTTTGGCCTAAAAGCAAAACGCTATGTGTGGCGGAAACCTAACACTGAACATCATCCTGAACACACCATCCCCACTGTGAAACATGGTGGTGGTGGTGGCAGCATCATGTTGTGGGGATGCTTTTCTTCAGCAGGGACAGGGAAGATGGTCATAATTGATGGGAAGACAGATGGAGCCAAATACAGGACAATCTTAGAAGAAAACCTGTTAGAGTCTGCAAAAGACTTGAGACTGGGGCGGAGGTTCACCTTCCAGCAGGACAACGACCCGAAACATCCATCCAGAGCTACAATGGAATGGTTTAGATCAAAGCATATTCATGTGTTAGAATGGCCCAGTCACAGTCCAGACCTAAATCCAATTGAGAATCTGTGGCCAGACCTGAAAATTGCTGTTCACAGACGCTCTCCATCCAATATGACAGAGCTTGAGCGATTTTGCATAGAAGAATGGGCAAAAATTTAACTATCTACAGTAGATGTGCAAAGCTGGTAGAGACATCCCCAAAAGGACTTGCAGCTGGAATTGCAGGGAAAGGGGGTCCTACAAAGTATTGACTCCGGGGGGGCTGAATAGAAATGTACGCCACACTTTTCACATATTTGTAAAAACTGTTGAAAACCATTAATCATTTTTCTTCCACTTCACAATTATGTGCCACTTTGTGTTGGTCCATCACATCAAATCCCAATAAAATACATTCACATTTTTGGTTGTAACATGACAACATGGGGAAAATTTCAAGGGGTATGAATACTGCTACAGGGCAGCAGGGCTGCGCAAAATCACATATATATATATATATATATATATATATATATATATAAAAGTGGGGATCGAAAGTTTTGGCACCCCAGCTAAAAATTTGTATTAATGTGCATAAAGAAGCCAAGGAAAGATGGAAAAATCTCCAAAAGGCATCAAATTACAGATTAGACATTCTTATAATATGTCAACAAAAGTTAGATTTTATTTCCATCATTTACACTTTCAAAATAACAGAAAACAAAAAAATGGCATCTGCAAAAGTTTGGGCACCCTGCAGAGTTTATAGCATGCACTGCCCCCTTTGCCAAGCTGAGACCTGCCAGTGTCATGGATTGTTCTCAATCATTGTCTGGGAAGACCAGGTGATGTCAATCTCAAAGGTTTTAAATGCCCAGACTCATCTGACCTTGCCCCAACAATCAGCACCATGGGTTCTTCTAAGCAGTTGTCTAGAAAACTGAAACTGAAAATAGTTGACGCTCACAAAGCTGGAGAAGGCTATAAGAAGATAGCAAAGCGTTTTCAGATGTCAATATCCTCTGTTTGGAATGTAATTAAGAAATGGCAGTCATCAGGAACAGTGGAAGTTAAAGCAAGATCTGGAAGACCAAGAAAAATATCAGACAGAACAGCTCGCAGGATTGTGAGAAAAACAATTCAAAACCCACGTTTGACTGCACGATCCCTCCAGAAAGATCTGGCAGACACTGGAGTTGTGGTACACTATTCCACTATAAAGAGATACTTGTACAAATATGGTCTTCATGGAAGAGTCATCAGAAGAAAACCTCTTCTACGTTCTCACCACAAAAATCATCATTTGAACTTGCAAATGAACATATAGACAAGCCTGATGCATTTTGGAAACAAGTTCTGTGGACCGATGAGGTTAAAATTGAACTTTTTGGCCAGAATGAGCAAAGGTACGTTTGGAGAAGAAGGGGCACAGAATTGAATGAAAAGAACCTCTGTCCAACTGTTAAGCATGGGGTTGGATCAATCATGCTTTGGGGTTGTGTTGCAGCCAGTGGCACAGGGAACATCTCACGAGTAGAAGGAAAAATGGATTCAATAAAATTTCAGCAAATTTTGGATGGTAACTTGATGCCATCTGTGAAAAAGCTGAAGTTAAAGAGAGGATGGCTTCTACAAATGGATAATGATCCTAAACACACCTCAAAATCCACGGGGGATTACATCAAGAGGTGTAAACTGAAGGTTTTGCCATGGCCTTCACAATCTCCTGACCTCAACATAATTGAAAACTTATGGATAGACCTTAAAAGAGCAGTGCGTGACAGACAGCCCAGAAATCTCAAAGAACTGGAAGACTTTTGTAAGGAAGAATGGGCAAAGATACCTCAAACAAGAATTGAAAGACTCTTGGCTGGCTACAAAAAGTGTTTACAAGCTGTGATACTTGCCAAAGGGGGCAGTACAAGATATTAACTCTGCAGGGTGCCCAAACTTTTGCAGACGCCATTTTTTTGTTTTCTGTTATTTTGAAAGTGTAAATGATGGAAATAAAATCTAACTTTTGTTGACATATTATAAGAATGTCTAATCTGTAATTTGATGCCTTTTGGAGATTTTTTCCATCTTTCCTTGGCTCCTTTATGCACATTAATACAAATTTTTAGCTGGGGTGCCCAAACTTTCGATCCCCACTGTATACACGTGATGTTGCATTTCTGGGTAGGCGGCTACAGCTGTCGATCACCAGGTCCCACTGGTAGGGGAGAGGTCTGTATGTAAACAATACAGATCTCTCCCGTGAGTACCAGCATGCTGCTTTATATTGCTCTGCATAGTCCGGGTATTCCGGTTTCCTCCCACACTCCAAAGACATGCTGGTAGGTTAATTGGCTCCTGTCTAAATTGTCCCTAGTATGTGTATGTATGAATGTGAGTTAGGGACCTTAGATTGTACACCCCTTGAGGGTTAGGGACTGATGTGAATGTACAATATATATGTAAAGCGCTGCGTAAATTGACGGCGCTATATAAATACCTGAAATAAATAAATTAGATGCGATTTCAATTCCTAAATCGCACTGGTATGACCGGGCACTAAAATTGGAGGGTGCAAAATCAGGTGCAGCTGTGCATAGAAACCAATCAGCTTCCAGTTTTTCTTGTCAAAGCTTCAGCCAGGTTTCACACCAATGCGGTGCGGGAAACGCTGTGAATGCAGTAAGTTTCCCGCACCGCATTGCAATCGAATCACGTTCATGTGATCTGGTGCGGGTGTCAATAATAAATTAACAACACCCTGAAACAGATTGCAAAACGCGACGCGATTGCCAGAAATCACATGGCATGGCTGCTCTCAGGTGCGGATTTAAAAAAAAAAAAAGAAAACAAAAAAGGAGCCCTGCACCTTTTTGGTGCAGATGCGATGCAATGTGAGCCATACAAAGTGTATTGATTTCAGGTACTTATATAGCGCCAACAATTTACGCAGAGCTTTACATATATATTGTACATTCACATCAGTCTCTAACCCTCAAGGGGCGTACAATCTAAGGTCCCTAACTCACATTCATACATACACATACTAGGGATAATTTAGACAGGAGCCAATTCACCTACCAGCATGTCTTTGGAGCGTGGGAGGAAACCGGAGTACCCCGGAGGAAACCCACGCATGCAAACTCCAGGCAGGTGGTGCCTTGGTTGGGATTTGAACGAGCGACCCTAGTACTGCCAGGCGGAAGGGCTAACCATTTAGCTACTGTAAACCAATAAATAAATAACCTCCTTGACTCAACTCCCACCAAAAAGTCACACTTTCTCCCTAGAAAATACAATATAATAAATATACCTTTTTGTGATATACCACATGAATTCCCAAAGAAAATATGACAAATAAATAAATAAAATGAAATAAAATAAAAGCATAAAGTGTCCAACCGACACTTCCGGTGAAGGGGATGTGACGTCAAGACGCACGCAAACCGGAAGTGTCGCCGCGGCCATTTTGTTAGTTGTCTACACATGGTATTCAGCTAATGTTTGCAGAGCTATTACAGAGAAAGCAATTGAGAGAGCTGGAAGTTCCTTATTTTAATAGTCTTCTTGCTTTTATGAGGATTTTGGAGGAGTACCCCTAAACGAAGGAATGGGAAGAGTCTGACTCCACAGTATAGACTATGCATATGAATACTCACAGAGGGTAATAGTATTTAGCATCACTGTTGGTTGGATCACAGAGTGCACACAATATTGGAGTGATCATGGTTTTGGTTTATATATAGTTATATATTATTATTATATTTATTTTTTTTTTTTCTGTGTTTTGCACATTTCAAGAGTGGTTTGTGTTTTGCATGGATTGGAGTGTTATGTATATGTTTAAGGGTAATGCACTATAGATTATTTCTTTTTTGAGGTTTTCGTGGAATAAGTAGGATTATATTCCTTCTTACTAGATTGAAGTGGAAAATTTGGATTTTGGGCTTTATTGGACACATTTGAGACTTTATTGGACACATCTGAGACTGAAATTGAATTGGACACTTTATGCTTTTATTTTATTTCATTTTATTTTATTTATTTATTTGTCATATTTTCTTTGGGAATTCACATGGTATGGCACAAAAAGGTATATTTATTACATTTAGCCACTGTGCTGCCCTACGTGTATGGCTCAAATTGCACCGAATAGACATTTGCATGTAATTCACAGGAATGCGGTGTGTGGTTCCCGTGCGAATTACATGCGGTGTCCCGCACCGCATAGTGTGAACCCACTGTCATTGAACAAGCTGAAGTTAGAAGCTGATTGGCTCCCACGCTCAGCTGCACCAGACTTTGCACTCTCCAGTTTTAGTAAATCAATCCCTTTACCTCTACATAGAAAAATAAAACAAACAGGATTATTATTATTATTATTATTATTATACAAGATTTATATATTATTATTATACAAGATTTATATATTATTATTATTATACAAGATTTATATATTATTATTATTCAGGATCTATATATTATTATAATACAGGATTTATATATTATTATAAACACAGGATTTATATATTATTATTATACAGGATCTTTATATTATTATTATAACACAGGATTTATATATTATTATTATTATTATTATTACACAGGATTTATATGTTATTATTATTATACAGGATCTATATATTATTATTATACAGAATCTATATATTATTATTATTCAGGATTTATATATTATTATTATACAGGATCTTTATATTATTATTATTATACAGGATTTATATTATTATTATAATACAGGATTTATATATTATTATTATACAGGATTTATATATTATTATTATTATTATACAGGATTTATATATTATTATTATTATACAGGATTTATATTATTATTATTATTATTATACAGGATCTATATATTATTATTATTATACAGGATTTATATATTATTATTATTATACAGGATTTATATATTATTATTATACAGGATTTATATATTATTATTATTATTATACAGGATTTATATATTATTATTATACAGGATTTATATATTATTATTATTATACAAGATTTATATATTATTATTATTCAGGATCTATATATTATTATAATACAGGATTTATATATTATTATAACACAGGATTTATATATTATTATTATACAGGATCTTTATATTATTATTATAACACAGGATTTATATATTATTATTATTATTATTATTACACAGGATTTATATATTATTATTATTATTATTACACAGGATTTATATGTTATTATTATTATACAGGATCTATATATTATTATTATACAGGATCTATATATTATTATTATTCAGGATTTATATATTATTATTATACAGGATATTTATATTATTATTATTATACAGGATTTATATTATTATTATAATACAGGATTTATATATTATTATTATACAGGATTTATATATTATTATTATACAGGATTTATATATTATTATTATATACAGGATTTATATATTATTATTATTATACAGGATCTATATATTATTATTATTATACAGGATTTATATATTATTATTATACAGGATTTATATATTATTATTATTATTATTATACAGGATTTATATTATTATTATTATACAGGATTTATATATTATTATTATTATACAGGATTTATATATTATTATTATACAGGATTTATATAGTGCCAGCAGTTTGCGCAGCGCTTTACAATATAAGGGAGACAGTACAATTACAGTACATTTCAGTACAGAAGGAATGTGAGGGCCCTGCTTATGGAGCTTACAATCTAAAGGAAGGGAGAGGATATTTTGTAGAACGCAGAAGACACCTCACCGAACATTCTGCTCCAGCACGCTGGGTCGAGCAGCTCACCATCTCCAGTTTGGCATTGTTAGGAAGGTTCGCAAATCGCCATTGAAGAGAAAGATCCAGCACTGTCCTCTGAAACCTGAAAAGTATTGGCTCGGGTTATGGGAACATTTGTGGATAAGGACGGTGCTGCAAATAAGCAAACTGCGCAAAAATATAATTAAAAAAAAAAAAATTCTGAACTTACTTTAGGTTATATTCTCTGGGGTTGAAATTCTGTTTCTTGCAGACCTCTTCCAGCACCTGCGATTATAAAAACACAGACGCCCAAACATAACTGATCTGCAACTCATCATCACCAGAAGATTCATTACTGCTAAAAAGGAAGCAAACAGATGACTGTGAATTAATCACATGGACAATTACCAAATATTGGTGAAACCTCAATGAGTGGGGAAATGACTTCCAAACTGAGCTGTTTAATGAATGAATAAAGTGTCATTGAAGCAGCACGCCATCAGTGCGGATCCTGTTGGAACGACTAGAAAGAAATACTTATATTATGCGCAATCAAGCCCCGGTTGCTCGCCGTATTGTGATACAACCTCTGAATCATAAGTTGGCAAAGTTATTAAGGATAACCGTCCATATACTGCCAAGGGAGGACACCGAATTCCACGGGACATTGGGTTCCCCAGCCCTGTGAACCTCAGCCTTAGAACTACAAGTCTCAGCATTTCTGGGCAGGAAGATACTGGGCTTGATCTACTAAAACAGGAGAGCGCAAAATCTGGTGCAGCTCTGCATAGAATCCAATCGGCTTCCAGGTTTTATGGCCAACGTTTAATAGAACAAGCTGAAATTAGAAGCCGATTGGCTGCCATACACAGCTGCACCAGATTTTGCACTCTTCAGTTTTACAGTCTCATCGCATGTGATCCGCACAGGAATCGCACCGCATTGCTGTGCAAATCACATGGGATTCTGTGCGGTGCGATTGGAGCCCATCATCTTGTATGGCTCAAATCGCACCGCATCCGAACGCAAAAAAAAAGGGGCATGCACCTTTTTTTTTTTTTTTTTTGGCCGCACTGGAATTATTATTTATTTATTATTTCAGGTACTCATATAGCGCCCAGGGGCGGACTGACCATTTGGAAACTCGGGCACTGCCCGAGGGCCTGGGGTCAGTAGGGGGCCCCATGAGATGCCCCTGGTACCTTTTTTCATAGGCTTTTTTGAGTTTGGGCAAGGACACAGGGGCCCCATGATCCCCTATTGCCCGGGGGCCCCATGAGTTGTCAGTCCGCCCCCCTATAGCGCCATCAATTTACGCAGCGCTTTACATATATATTGTACATTCACATCAGTCCCTAACCCTCAAGGGGTGTACAATCTAAGGTCCCTAACTCACATTCATACATACACATACTAGGGCCAATTTAGACAGGAGCCAATTCACCTACCAGCATTTCTTTGGGGTGTGGGAGGAAACCGGAGCACCGGGAAGAAAACCCACGCAAGCACAGGGAGAACATGCAAACTCCATGTGGAGGAGGCACCATGGTTGGCAATCGAACCCATGACCCATTTACTGCAAGGCAGATGTGCTAACCACTAAGCCACTGTGCCGCCCCATTAGGTCACGGGTGTCAAACTGGCGGCCCTCCAGCTGTTGCCAAACTACAAGTCCCATGAGGCATTGCAAGATTGACAATTACAAGCATGACTCCCAAAGGCAGAGGCATGATGGGATTGCAAAAGTGATTGCAAAGGGTAATAAAAAAAAAAATAAACATGTTATACTTACCTGCTATGTGCAATGGTTTTGCACAGAGCAGCCCAATCCTCCACTTCTAGGGTCCCCCGCCAGCGCTCCTGGCTCCTCCTCTTCTTGGTGTGCCATGACAGGAAGCCATTTCCTACTGTGGCACACCTGCGGGCTCAAGCCTGAGCCACGCTGCTTGTGTCCATAGACACAGACAGCACAGCTCGGCCCAGCCTGCTGCTCCCCCATCACAGGATTTGACTGACAGCAGCAGGAGTTAATGGCTCCCACTGTTGCCTCTCTGTCCTGTGAGGAGGGAGAGAGCCGCTGTTCTTGGGCACAGCGCTGGATTGAGATTGGCTCAGGTAAGTATTTAGGGGGGCTGGGGTGGGGGGGGGGGGAGATATACACAGAAGGTTTTTTTTATCTTAATGTAAAAAAAAAAAAAAAAAAGTAAAAAAAACAACACAAGTTTGGCTTTCGATACAGTTTAAATCTAAAGTTCTAGAGCACGGGTGTCAAACTGGCGGCCCTCCAGCTGTTACCAAACTACAAGTCCCATGAGGCATTGCAAGATTGACAGTTACAAGCGTGACTCCCAAAGGCAGAGGCATGATGGGACTTGTAGTTTCGCAACAGCTGGAGGGTCACCAGTTTGACATTTGACAGATATAAATGAATAAACTGCTAAAATCGCTGTAAAAAACAAGTGTCTCAGTGTGTATTAATTATTGTGAATAACACACTATGGTGCAAAACACATAAAAGTGCAAAGAGTAATGTCCACACATAAATTCATGTCACTGCATCGTGACTAATCAGAAATATTCGTGAGTGCCCAGTCCACAATATCCAAGTGGGTTGAGTGTTGAGGATCAGGAGGATCTCTATCATGAATAAAAACGTGGTGATATCTAAACTAATATAAGACTGCGCACACTCACCAGATGCGCAATCAATATGTGCATGTAAGAGATAACCCCTCTTAAGGTTTGAATCCAGGAATCCCTCTGGAATGTGGTCTGGTCTATTCCCGTGCTCTGCTCACCCAGTTATCAAGCATGGCTCTGTCCTCCTTAGACGTGACTCTGTGGGTAGTAGGAAGCTCACAAGGGGCCCCAGAAAGAAAGGAGGCCCAATAGCGTGATACTGCTTGATAATAAAGATTTATTCCATCCAGCAAGCATGAGAGTACAAGAAACAGATACTGACCAGATAATCCAAGATGGCCGCCGGGACCCACGTAGTCCCGATGGCGGCGTGACGTCACTGCACTGTAGCTCCTCCCCGACGCATTTCGTGCAACCGCAGGAAAGCATGAATTATTTACGATTCTATAGAGCTGCACCCCCTGCTTATATTTGTTTTTGAGGTTGTTTGGTACCTTTGGTGTTCAGCGGCTCTAGCGTCTTTTAGTGCTCACTTATCCATTTCTTGTGTTAAGATTGAAAGTTACAAGCATGGCATGATGGGACTTGTAGTTTCACAACAGTTGGAGGGCCGCCAGTTTGACACCCCTTATCCTAGGTGTTCATACCCATGCGATCCGATTCAGGGTGTCATTTAATTGACACAGCAGATCACATGAACACGGTGCAATTGCTACACGGGAAACACAGCAATTGTTGTTCATTTCCGCATCCCAACCGGGCCTTAGTAAATCAACCCCATTGTTTAGGAACTACACATTACCAGCTGCTTTGTACCTGCAGGCTTTTCAAAGGAGAAGTTCACTTTTCGTAACATGTTCAACCCAAATTCAGCGTGTAACATGTTATGATCAGACTGCCCCCGCTCCCCTCTGATCCCTGCTTTGACAGCCAACGGGGGATCTTCTACCCAACTCGCTAGCTGTCAAATGTTTAAAAAGAGGCTGTGCGGGGCTCCGCCCACTCGGCAGTGTCACTCAATCACAGTCATCTTAGTGGCTGTCAGCTTGCACTTCTCAATGAACTACCAGTTCATTCGTTCATTCTTGCTGTCAGTACATCTGCTTGCTAGTACATCCCATATGAGCAAGCAGACATACCGACAGATCTGCAGGAGCCCTGCATGGCACCAGAGAGCTGCTGATTGCTGGTGCAATGCTTTACAGGCCCCTGCAGACAAAAATAAAATAACGATTACATATTATTCCTCACCCTCCTGACTGAACGAGCAATAAACCCTTAGACCCGGTTCACACCTATGCGTGTTCCAATCGATGCATTTTTGAACACGTGTTTTTGATGCGTTTCTGATGCATATACAACACTGTAATAGGAGTCCTTAGAGCAGGAAAGGTGGTTTTACTTTTCCCTGGTGCCTACTAGGAGAAATCCCCCCTCACTTCCTTTTCTGATGACAACATGGACACCTAATAGAAAGTCAGAGTCCACCTACAACAGGGACACTGACAGCAAGACAGAGGCTCCAGCCTCCCCCTATATGTCCCATCACTTTCTATCCTGACAATGTTGTCACCACAGGACAGGAAGTGAGGGGAATCTCACCAGTGGAGTCCCAGTAAGCCATACAAACCTGACTGAGAGTGGTAGTAGGAGTCCTTAGAGCAGGAAAGGCGGTTCTACTTTTCCTTGGTGCCTACTAGGAGAAATTTCAGTTTTCTCTTACATTGCAGTCCCCCCTTACACTGAAGTCCCCATTAGAGGCCCCCCATACAGTTGAGTCCCCAGCAAAGTATCCTTTTACATTGAAGTCCCCCTTACTTTGGAATCCCCATCAATGTCTTCCCTTACATTACAGTCCCCCCTTACATTTGAATCCCCATCATACGATTATTTTATATTGTAGCCCCCCCTCTACGCTGAAGTGCCTCTCGGAGTCCCCCTTACAGTCTTCTTTTACATCGCAGTCCGCCCTTACATATGCGTCCATTTCAGAGTCTCTTATATCGCAGTCCCCCCCTAATATACAAGTCGCCATCAGACTATCCTTTTACATCGCAGCTCCCCCCCTTATACTGACATCCCCATCAGAGCCTTCTCTTACATTTGAGTCCCTACCAGACTATCCTTTATATCGCAGTCTCCCCTTACACTGAAGTCCCCATCACAACCCCCCCTTATATGGGTCCCCATCGGACTATCATTTTACATTGCAACCCCCCCCTCCCTTACATTGAAGTCCCCCCTTTACATTAAAGTCCCCATCACAGTCTTCTCTTGCATTTGAGTCCCTTCCAGAGACCCCCTTACATTGAAGTCCCCATCAGACTATCCTTTTACACTGCAGTTCCCCCTTACACTGAAGTCCCCATCAGAGTCCCCCCTTACATATAAAGCCCCATCAGACTATCATTTCACATCGCAGTCCCCCCTTATAGTGAAGTCTGCATCAGAGTCGTCTTACATTTGAGTCCCCCCCTTACATCAGAGTCTCCTCTTACAGTGGATTCATTTTCAGAGTCCTCCCTTACATTGGCATCCCAATCAGTCCCCCCCCTTATATTGAATTCCTTATCAAGAGTCTTCCCTTACTTTAGATTCCCCTCTAATGTTAAGAGTCCCAGTCAATGTCTCCCCTTATACTGGGGATCACCCCTTACATCAGGGGACCACATAAGATCTTGCAATGGGCCACAGCTGACCCCTGGACCACAGACCCGTTATATAGCTGATGATAGAACACAACAGTGTAATAGGAGTCATTAGAGCTGAAAAGGTGGTTTTACTTTCCCTGGTGCCTACTAGGAGAAATCCCCCCTCACTTCCTTTTCTGACAACATGGTCACCTAATAAAAAGTCAGAGTCCACCTACAACAGGGACACTGACAGCAAGACAGCGGCTCCAGCCTCCCCCTATATGTCCCCTCACTTTCTATCCTGACAATGTTGTCCCCAGGACAGGAAGTCAGGGGAATCTCACCAGTGGAGTCCCAGTAAGCCATACAAACCTGACTGGGGTGGTAGTCTTCCCCCCACTACACCCAGAACTAAATGTAATGGCTCCATCTGGAGATACACGTACATTAGGTTTTATTTATATATGTCATATACGGTAAATAATATAAAATATACACAAGACATATTTCACCCCCACGGAGGAGAATAAAGGCAACACAGAGCATCTGGCACAGCTATGGCCACCTATGGCAGCACTGGGGCCTATGTCAGGTGTGGTCACCCTATCAGAGGTGTGTACAGGGTGCGGTGTGTATCCTCTCCCCTCCCCCAGCTCCCCCCACCTGTAACAGAGGGGTCCCGGCTGTCACTTTCACCGCCTGCCGCCTTCCATTGGGAGCCAACACCGTCACCCCGGCACCGCTGGCCGCCATGCTGGCTGACGCTGCGGAAGCTTTCAAGTAACTTTATTGAAACGGCAACAAGCCGCACAGAGCCGGAGCTCCAGGAACACGGGATAGAGGCAGCGGTGCGGAGGCGAGCCCCCACCGGTTGCCCTGACACCGAAACCCCGCCTCTAGCATGCCTCAACCACTCCCACGATACGCCTCAACACCGCCCACTGCACGCCCTATAAACGCCTCAACCACGCCCAGTTGCCGAGAAGTGTATCTGCTAAAACCCCACCCACAGTACAGCCTCTGGACTCCTCTAACTCCGCCCAGTCGCTGCCCATTGCATGGATGAAACCCCGCCTCCCAGCTTCTCCCCATCTCATTGGCAGAGATGTGCTATGGTAATTGTACGTATGCGCTGATGTCTATTGGATTCCTAGAAGATGATTATATTTCAGTTTCCTATGGAACGTTTAATGACACAATGACAATGGGAATGGAACCAGAAACAGGACAGAGCTGCGTGTGTGTCTGCAGTACTGTGTGTGTGCTGACTTCTGAGATCCAATTATTATATATATATATATATATATATATATATATATGGGCGGATTGACAACTCATGGGGGCCCCCGGGCAATAGGGGATCATGGGGCCCCTTGTGTCCTCACCCACACTCTAACCACACCCAAAAAAGCTTATGAAAGGTACCAGGAGCATCTCATGGGGCCCCCAGGCAATAGGGAGTCATGGGGGCCCCTGTGTTCTCACCCACACTCAAACCACACCCAAAAAAGCCTATGAAAGGTACTATGGGCATCTCATGGGGCCCCCTACTGACCCTGGGCCCTTGAGCAGTGCCCAAGTGCCTAAATGGTCAGTCCGCCCCTGTATATATACACACACACACACACACACTGTATATATATATATATACACATACCAGGGGCGGACAGACCATTTGGAAACTTGGGCACTGCCCGAGGGCCCGGGGTCAGTAGGGGGCCCCATGAGATGCCCCTGGTACCTTTTTCATAGGCTTTTTTGAGTTTGGGCAAGGACACAGGGGCCCCATGATCTCCTATTGCCCGGGGGCCCCATGAGTTGTCAGTCCGCCCCTGACACATACATACATACACTGTATATATTTTATTTCTATATATGTATATACATACAGTGCCTTGAAGTCCCTTGCAATTTTCTACACAAAGTGGTACATAATTGTGAAGGGGAAGGAAAATAAGTGGTTTTCAAAAATGTTTACAAATAAATATCTGAAAAATGTGATGTGCATTTGTTTTCAGCCCCCTTTATTCTGATACCCCCTAACTAAAATCTAGTGGAACCAATTGCCTTCCGAAGTCACCTAATTAGTAAATAGTGTCCAGCTGTGTGTCATGTAATCTCAGTATAAATACAGCTGTTCTGTGAAGCCCTCAGAGGTTTGTTAGAGAACATTAGTGAACAAACAGCATCATGAAGGCCAAATAACTCACCAGACAGGTCAGGGATAAAGTTGTGGAGAAGTTTAAAGCAGGGTTAGGTTATAAAAAAATATCACAAGCTTTGACCATCTCACAGAGCACTGTTCAATCCATCATCTGAAAATGGAAAGAGTATGGCACAACTACAAACCTACCAAGACATGGCCGTCCACCTAAACTGATAGGCCGGAAAAGGAGCACATTCATCAGAGAAGCAGCCAGGAGGCTCATGGGAACTCTGGAGGAGCTGCAGAGATCCACAGCTCAGGTGGGAGAATCTGTCCACAGGACAACTATTAGTCATGCACTCCACAAATCTGGCCTTTGTGGCAAGAAGAAAGCCATTGTTGGAAGAAATCCATAAGAAGTCCCGTTTGCAGTTTGCAGGAAGCCATGTATGTGGGGGACACAGCAAACATGTGGAAGAAGGTTTTCTGGTCAGATGAGACCAAACGTGAACTTTTTGGCTTAAAAGCAAAACGCTATGTGTGGTGGAAAACTAACACTGCACATCACCCTGAGCACACCATCCCCACCGTGAAACATGGTGGTGGCAGCATTATGTTGTGGGGATTCTTTGCTTCAGCAGGGACAGGGAAGCTGGTCACAGTTGATGGGAAGATGGATGGCGCCAAATACAGGGCAAGCTTAGAAGAAAACCTGTTAGAGTCTGCAGAAGACTTGAGACCGGGGCGGAGGTTCACCTTCCAGCAGGACAACGACCCGAAATATCCAGCCAGAGCTACAATGGAATGGTTCCAATCAAAGAATATTGCTGTTCCCAGACGCTCTCCATCCAATAACAGAGCTTGAGCGATTCTGCAAAGAAGAATGGGCAGAAATGTCCCTCTCTAGATGTGCAAAGCTGGTAGAGACGTCCCCAAAAAGACTTGCAGCTGGAATTGCAGCAAAAGGGGGTCCTACAAAGTATTGACTCCGGGGGGCCGAATACAAATGCCGCCACTCTTTTCACAGATTTATTTGTAACAAATGTTGAAAACTATTTGTCATTTTCCTTCCACTTCACAATTATGTGCCACTTCCTAAATCCCAACCAACCAGATCCATCATGGCAGCGCCTGTTAGCGGACATCCACTCACCTGCTGCCGTCAGGTTCCTCACCTGGTTGTGTCCCTGCCGCATCACCAACCGTCCCATTAAAGTGAATGGGACTGTCAGTGAGTCAACAGCGGGTCAGAGGAGGAGCCGCTACGGGACAGAGATGACAGCTACGTATATCCGGTGGGTGCGTGGTGACGTCACTTCCGGTGAGTGGAACGCATACTGGTTTGCGGCGTTCCAGAGTGATTTCCTGCTATTTGGAAGGGATTTTGATCTATTTTTGCCAGTCCACTTCTACAAATGGAAATGAGCCCTATAATATGAGCCTTTGTGCCTATTATGAAAGCCTGAGTGCATGATCGCTCCTAACCCCGGACACCACTAAGCAACTTATTCACTCCCTGGTTATCTCTCGCCATGACTATTGTAACTCCCTCCTCATTGGCCGACCTCATCGCAGGCTATCCCCTCTTCAGTCTATCATGAATGCTGCTGCCAGACTCATCCACCTCACTAACCGTTCTGTTTCTGCCACCCCTCCCTGCCAATTCTTCCACTGGCCTCCACTCAGTGTCCTCCACCCCTATCTGCCAATTCTTCCACTGGCCTCCACTCAGTGTCCTCCACCTCTCTCTGCCAATCCCTCCACTGGCTCCCAGTTGCCCAACGGATAAAATTCAAAACCTAACAATGACATATAAAGCCGTTCATAACACTGCCCCAAATTACATCACCGATCTTGTCTCTAAATATCACCCAAACCGTACTCTCTGCTCCTCGCAAGACCTCCTACTCTCTAGCTCCCTTGTCTCCTCCTCCCATGCTCATCTTCAGGACTTCTCCAGGGCTTCCCCCATCCTCTGGAACTCCCTACCCCAATCTATCAGACTATCGCCTACTCTACTGGCTTTTTAGGCGATCACTGAAAACCTATCTCTTCAGGGAAGCCTATCCCACCCTCTGCTAATACTGGAATCCTCTACTCTTCCAACCACTCCATCCCCCACAGTTATTACCTTTTGTACCACTAGCCCCTCCCTCCTAGATTGTAAGCTCCAAGGATCAGGGCCCTCCTATCCCTCTTGTATTGAACTGTATTGTTGCTGTATTGTCTCCTGTTATATTGTAAAGCGCTGAGCAAACTGTTGGCGCTATATAAATCCTGTATAATAATAATAATTTTTAAACATGTGAGTGCATAGAAGGCAGCCTTTTTTAAAATTAAAGATTTTTTACAGTATTGCACTATTTGTTGTTTTGTTTTCCACTGTCGTCCAATCGTGGGAGTCGTTTCTGGAGGATATTGAGTTATCTGGGAGGACACGCCCAGTCTCTTTATGCTTGTTTGGCTCTTGTGCCATATCAGCAAAGAGTCCATTCCACCCAGGGGCGGACTGACCATTTGGAAACTCGGGCACTGCCCAAGGGCCCGGGGTTGGTAGGGGGCCCCATGAGATGCCCCTGGTACCTTTTTCATAGGCTTTTTTGAGTTTGGGCAAGGACAAAGGGGCCCCATGATCCCCTATTGCCCGGGGGCCCCATGAGTTGTCAGTCCGCCCCTGATTCCATCTGCTGAGTGGGGATGGAGCATTACTCATGGATGGTGTGAGCACATTTGTTTGAAGAAAATTTTGGAGCACTTTTTTTTGGGATTGAGCACAATTCATATATTTTGATAAAACAATTTTGTGTGGACTCTATTTTTTTTTTTGGACTTTTATTTATAGTATTTCAATTTTTACATATAATTTATTTGCGCTGTGGAGTGTTTATAATTTTATAAGCAGTAGAAGCTGCCTGCATCCTAGCAACAGAAGAATGTTTAGCAGCCAAAGCCAACTGCGTCCTAGCAACAAAAGGAAGCTAGGTGGCAGAACAGCCTGCATCTTAGCAACGGAAGAATAATTGTCAATTGAAGCCACCTGCATCCCAGCAACAAACTGACACTAGGTGGCAAAAGCCACTAATATTTAAATGCGTATACCATGCAATGATAAGCAAAAAGTACTGTGTTCGAGTACAACAGCTGTCTGCATACTAGCAACCAAGCAGGCTAGGCAGGAGAAGCTGCCTCGTAGCAACAGAAGAATGTTTGGCAGACAAAGCCACCGGCGCCCTAGCAACAAAAGCAAGCTAAGAACTGCCTGCATCCTAGCAAAAGAAGAAGAATTGTCAAATGAAGCCACCTGCATCCTAGCAACAAAATGACTCTAGGTAGCAGAAGCCACTAATGTTAACCTGCATATAATGTACAGTGACAAAGTACTGTATTGGAGCCTGCATTCTAGCAACAAAGCAGGTTAATTAGGAAAAGCTGCCTGCATTCTAGCAACAAAGGACTCTAAGCAGCAGAACTGCCTGCATCCTAGTAACAGAGGAAGGCTTGGAAACGAAACCACCTGCATCCTAGCAACAAAAGGACCGTAGATAGCAAAAGTTGCTAACATTTACATGCCTATATCACACAGTGAAAAATACCCTATTGGAGTACA